AAAGCAGAATATTTTTCTAATCATTTTGATTCATAAAAATCGAATWTAGGGYTAGTAGTTTTTGAGTTATAAGTATTTAAAGTGTAGATTGGCAGAGTGCAGTGGTGCGRGGTTACCCCACAAAATGTTTGACCACACTCCGCTTGTCTAAACTTTAAATACATATAACTCATAAACTACTCGTTCTAAATTCGATTTTTATCAATCACAATAATTAGAAAAATATTCTGCTTTAGAATATGAAATTAAAACTATGTTGTCATTCAAAAAAGTAAAAAACTTAAAAAAATGATAAGGATAAAAAATATTTAAAAATATAATTTTTTAAATAAAAAGTTGGTTTTTTAACAACTTGAAACAATGAAAAAAATTATTTTGAAAAAAGTAAATACTTTTCGAGATAATTAGTGTACCCACTTAAAAGAATCACCCTGTATATATTGAAACTAAATTTTCATTTGTAAAAAGATATTGGAAAAAATACTAACAATCTTTGTTTTGGTGTTTAGAAAAATTGAATCATCAAAGCAAAGCTTAAAACTGAAATCTTATGTTACGATAACTGCASTCGAAGCGTTGGTACTTATTTGTTATTGTGCCAATTTACAATTTACTTTGCAAAAGATTTCTGGAGATGTAGAAAACATCTTGACCAAAAGTCTCAGCAAATATGCCACAAATAGAACTTGGCGATTATTTTGGGATCAATTTCAACAACACTATTATTGTTGCGGTAGTTCTCAAAAAACTAATTGGTTCCAAACAGCTTGGGTTTCACCTATTGCAGTAACCTCACTTTCAATACTAAAAAAGTACAAAATAATATTTCATAAATTGGAAAGATATTTAAAATGTTTATTTAAGATGTACACAACAAAATGGAAAATTCATTATACTGGCTGCACCCATAAGTTGTTGTTTACCTGACGCTATTTGCAATACATTCATCGATTCTGAACAACCTGATCCAGAAAAATATTTTCCAAATAGTTGTTCTTCAATAATAGTTAATCAAATAAACTCTATATCATACACAAGATACTCATTTTATGCTACATTAGTTATTCAGGTAATAATAATACAAGTGATTAAAATAGTTAAACAATGAKTAATGAAGTAATTACAAGTGTTCAATAATTAAAAAACACCATAAAATTTACTTTATTCACAGCTTGATTTGTATGCTTTTAATTTTAGATTATTTCTGCTGTCGTAAGATATGAAGGTTACATAGAAAACAATAATAATCCAAAATCAAAATTATAGAAGATATATATTTTTTATATCTTAGAAGAAAATATTAGTGTCTTACTGTCTTAACTTAATTAAATTACTTTTATAATGTTACCATTGTTTATGAATATCACATCAATGTATTTTTTAATTAGTCCGAGTTAAATGGTGTTCTGAATCAGTATTGTTCTAAAGAAAATGAAAATAAATTTTTAACTTATTTATATATTTACAAACTATATTTT